TTCTTGAAAGCTAATAGCTTTAAATCTAGTAAACACATTGTTATACATTTTTAAATTCTTTAATAACTTTGATAGAGTTCTGCAATTTCACACTTTTATTATAATATTTCTTAGAAATAATTTTTTTAATGAAATTTTAAACTGTACCACCAAAATTATCCTAACTTAATATAGAAGTCTTTGCTATTCACAAAGTATTTCACTCATTTATTTTAGATACAACCTTATATTATGATGCATCTGCTGTACTAACCAAAAGTTAAGAATTAAATTTTAGACTGTAACGATAAGAACAAGATTTGCATTACAAATAATGACTGCAATATAGCGTTTGTTGTTTTTTGTATGTTTTTTAAAATTTATTATTTTTATAAAACCATCTGAGCTCTTAGAAATGTAACTATCTTGTAAGCTATAATTTTTAACTTTGTAATCACATTAAATAACTAACTCCAAGAAACTAAAGTAATAAGATATTATTTGATTAAAAGACTTCATTTGCTTCAATATTATCTGATGTCTGGTAAGTCTGGAGAATGGATGCCTTTTTGAGGTCTTGAAAGATGTGGACTTAAATTTCCATCCATATAGTTTTGAAGCCAATAAAGTTAAGTAATATGAAAACACATTTTTGTATAGTTTCGTAATACTTATATGATTTTAATACATTCTATTTTAATTTTTGGTTTTTATTATATATATTTTTTTAAATTGTTAACAATTGCACTAAAGTTATCAACATTTTATTTAGAAGTTTTAGCTGTTAAAAAAAATGTCGTTTTAGTTTATTATCTGATGCTTATTATCTGATAAGCTTATATTCTGATGCCTGTCTTGCATGAGTCAAAAGTATAGAATTAAATCTTAGACTGTAACAAAAAAAAATTATTTTTTGGGTTAAAATAATATGAACAATATATCTATATGAACAATATATCTACAAAAAATATGAATAATGCATCATTTGTTATCTCTCTCTGTTTTTTTAATACTCTCTTATTGTTATTTTAAAAAATCATCTGAGACCATAAAAGTATAGCTTTCTTTATTTTAGGACAAATACAAATGAAACAAGGAATTGTTTCTGATGGAGTACACCAAAGAGAGGTAACATTCCACTCTTGTGCGCTTTGTGAATATGTTACTGCGAGGAAAAGTGATATGAAAAGACATATGCGAGTGCATAGTGAAGTGCGCCTTTACGGTTGCCCTTTTTGTGAGAAACGTTTCAAGCACAATTTTTCTTTAACTACTCACATAGGATTGCTGCATTCAAATGCAACGAATGATTGAAGTGTTACAAAATTTGCTAATTTCTGTTTTGATTTTAAATAACATTCATGTTACTTCCTTTATGATTATATTCAATGATTATATTTTAGCAAAAAATTTAAATATTGTATGTTGAATAGATATTTATACAAGGTTGTGCAATGTTGCATTAATTGTGAGTTCAGTTCATTTGTGATCATAAAAATTACTTGCATTAACTGCCCTTTAAATCCATCCTCTTTTTTTACAAAGTATAACAAAAGTTTTAATATTTTATTGTAGCTAGATATAGATATATATACTACAGTATTATGTACTAACTACGTGAATGGTCAGTAGTTAATATGCAATAGAAATACTATATGCAATCTTTGCATAATTTTTCAGTTCAATGAATGCTATCATTTGAGTAACTCACTATTATTCTATAGTTTATATCTCTAATTTAAGGGATATTCTTTTATTATGTATGAAATATCTTTATTCAACATTGTTCGATACAAAATTTAGTAATTAAGGAATGTTATCAATATAATTTACATTTGCCATTCTATAAGTTTTTTTTAGTTTTTACTAATAAATGTTAAGAGTTACAAGTTGTGTTATTTTTTTCTTTTGCCTGTTAATCAGTTTCTCAGACATAGATTCATTTAACATTATAGTCCTTTAACTGAAGATTCGAGATAAGATATTTGTTATTTCATCTATTTTATAGAAATGCCATTTTTATTATGTTAGATTATCCATTTTAAAATATTGTTTGTAAGTGTAAGTTGTTATTTTTTTTTTTTTAATTTTACGTGAAAGGGACTTATCTTAATGGTTAGTATTTCAAATCCTTTAAATAACATTAAAGAATTTGTATTCATTTATATTTCCTGCATAGAAATAAGAGTTTTGTGATTATTTCTTTCTTCTTCTCTAAATGTTTAACTTTAAAAATTGTAATTTGGTCCAGATAAAACATTAATTCTCTTACTTTAACCCTTTTGGACCTGTTTGTTTTATTTGAACATATGGGATATTCATATTACGTACAGGTGTAAAAATCGTGTTGAAAACTTTTCTTTTTATTCTTTTCTTCATAGCAAATAAATTTGTCATCTATTCTAAAGCAGTTTTCCCACTTAGAAATTCATCAAATTATTTCAGTCATTTTCCTGTTCCAAAAAATTTCCAGAAACTAGCTTTGTTGCTGTTACTTTAGTGTTAAAATTTAGTTTCAAGATATAAATATTTAAACATTTAAAAACCACATTCATAATCCAGCATTCACAAAGAAGTGGTATAATTTTCATTGCATATAACCAGTCACATAAATGAACAGAAAGTTGGATTTCCAATTATTAAAACGATTGGATTTTATTTGATTGTAAATAAATGAAAGCTCAACTATCTTGCAGCCAGTAAGAAACATAGCAAAATTTTTTCTTCTTCATGCAATTAGTATTATGAAATGCTCATAGAATAAGGCTTTGAATATTAATTATTTTTTAATTCTAATTGGTAAGTAAATGAAAGCTTAACTATCTTGTATTCATTATAAAGAAAGCATAAGTTTCAATAACATTGTCATGAAATACTCATATTTTTGAAATTTATTCAAATTCAACTGAGGAGAATTAAGTTAATTCTCATAATTTAAATTATGGCTACAATTGATTTGTAGTATCAGTTTTTAAAGGCATGATAAAATCTAAAGCTATTTTTTTCTCAATTTAGGTATTTCATCGTGCTTTATTTTTGATATCAAATCTTTTGTAAGGTATATGCATAAAAACATACAGGGAGGTGATTGTAGGAAGCTCAAATTAACATGAATTAAGTGTGGTATTTTGAGATTTCAGTCAAATTGAAGATTCAAATTATAAGATTAGTTTTACAATGTCAACCAAAAACAGTCAGTTTTTCAATTCATTAGTTTGGGATCTGCAGTGTGAAGTTGCCCTTGTATTCTTTCCTTCCTTTTATCTTAATTTTGTTTCTTATGTTCTATTATTTTGCATCATGTGTAGCATTATTTAATTCTGTTACCATAAAAAAGAAATATTGTTCATCTTTATCATTTGCACGTAGGACTTCAATCATTAAGGGACGTGATGTAATATTATAATTTTTCAAGTAAACATTTTTCTGAAATTAGAAAGAAAAAAAAATTCATTAGCGTTTAAGAGTTGTTTTTTTGGGGGGGGGGGGAATAAAATATTTTCTTATTGTTAAAAAACTATAGAATAAAATTTTTAATTCATATTTTATCGTTCAGCAGCACAGCAGCTAAATTGTTTACAATTTTTTATTGTTTCGGCTAACCAAAAATGCATTCTGTTTGTATATAATTTGCAATTTCTTGTCCCTTTTAAACTAATATCAGGAACGATTATCATTCAGAGAGACCTTAATTTTCCATGATTTTCATTACAATTAACACAATACTTTATGACATTGCTATGATACTGTATAACATTGCTGATATTATGTTGTCTTTGTATAATTTAATTTGTTTAATCATTTCTTTTTTGTATTACATTTGAGTCAATGATGATATTTTTCTGAGACTCAACAATTTTATTTATAAATACATTTTTTTAAAAGTATAGGTTAAAATTTCCTTTTTTATGTATAGTTTATTTTTTATGCACCTTCTATTTAGTATTTGTGGAAAGTTTTTGTCTTAACTTATTTTGTTTTATTTATTTTATGCTATTATTTTTTACAAATGTGGTGTTTTATGTTCCTTTATTTATGTTTATTATGTTTTTTATTATCTATAGTTTTTTATTATATGTAGCTTTTCATGTTTATTATGTTATAATGCATGATCATAGTAATTATCAATTTGAAAACAATTGAAAATTAGTTAGAAATCTTCATGTAGAGTTATGCAACTTTTTTCACAAGAGGATGCCAGGAAAATGAATTTAGACTACATATTAATCGGTGTTCATTTAAATACACCTTAGTATATTCTGAACAATATCAATATGGATTAAAAGTTACGTGACGAAGTATATATGAGCATTTTTTAATTAGGAAATATTCTGAAATGAAATTAAATTATAGCTGGTCTTGAGTTTTCTTTGAAGAAAAATCAATTTTATCATTTTTTTACTGCATATAAATTGTTTACCATATAAATTTTCATATTTTTTTTAAAACTTTATGTAAGAACTTGGTTCAGTTAAAGAAAATTCTCTACAAAAAACAAAAATATATATGTAAACATCAAAATGACAAAAGATTTAAGCTGTACACCTTTAAGCCAAGCCATTATATTTATTATAACAATTACAAATCAAAATTATAAAATTTTGAATATATATATATATATAAAATTAATTGAAAATAGTTTACACATCTATTATTAATGATAATAACTTTCAATAACATTAATTATCAAATACACTTTTGTTTTTAATACGGATAAAATTTATTTGTTTTTAAAAAAATATTTTTACTATTCATCCGGAAGTAAAGATAATTCCAGTGTATTGAATCTCTGAATATTAAAATTCTGATTAAAATTGTATATTGTTTGAAAATGCATATAAATCTAAATTTTGTTTTAATTTTTTGACTGTCTTTGTTTACGTAAAGAACTTTTAATTAAATATTATACAATTGAATTTTTTTTCTAGGTCTCTCACCAATCAATAAGACATTCTTAAACTTTAAGTCTGGGCTAAGAATTCATCAATGCTCAGTGTGCAGTTTTTCGACAATCAGAAAAGCTGATTTAAAAAGGCATTTTTTGACTCATTCAGGGAAACGTCCATTTGAGTGTTCTGTGTGTGGTAAACGTTTCAATCAAAAGTCACATTTGAAGTCACATTTATTCATAATTCACGCTTCTAAACAATTAAAATAATGCATCAAGGCTCATTTGTGTGTTATTGTTAAGAGTTGTAAGATTCCAAGATGTGTTTACATAATTATTTATGTGGATGTGTATACAAAGAATGAATTTAGAATATTTGTATTAAAATTTTTGGTGTTTTGTTTTTCGATTATGTTTTGTCCAAAAAAATTTTTGCACATATGTTCAATAATTTTATGATTTTATTTTTAATAAAAAAAAATCGCAATTTATAAATCAATTAGATTTGTAGAGTCTAAAAACTTAAACTATATTTAGATTTCTGAAGAGTCTTCATGATATTTACTATAGCTGAAGGCAAATAAATTATTGCTTTTCAATCCAATATCTTTTATCCGAACATTTTTAATTAGTTCAGAAAAATATTCTTTTATAAACCAATTGGACTTCTAGTTTTAAAATTCTTCTCACAATATAATTTGAGTTATAAAAATTTTTTTGCCATAGTTGGTGACAACATTTTTTTAAAAATAAACCAATCATAAATTTACTTTTGTTCATCTAATGGCTAGCTTTCAAGAAATAATCATAATTAATTTTATTATTTGTATCTAGAAACAGCAAAAAATCTAACATTTTTTTTAATGTCTGATTCATGACCTTTTTATTAATCTAAATTTTTGTGGTTGATATATAGTATATTTAATGTACCATCCATTTAAGATTGTTGTATATGTTGAGTGAAAAGTCACAAGTAGTGTTACTATTTAAATTTATATATCTTATCATATTTATGTTTTAACTAAATTCACAGTTCAAAAATTAATTAGATTATTTTTCTTCTGTGCACTGTTTTTGTAGAAAAATGAAAACCACTTCTCTATTCTGCAAAGTTCATATGTATTACAAAATGAAATTATGTATGCAAAGCTATCGAATTTAGTTAAAATAAATAAATATTTTTATACTTTATGTTACATTATTTTATGTTATGAAAACTGTTATAAAGACCACTGCTTTAACTAATAAAAATATTTTAATGATAATTTTCTTTTACAGATAAATCCTTTTGTACCAATACTCCTCCAAAATATAGACCTCAGCCAAAAGTACTTCATCAATGCCCTATTTGTGAGTTTAGTACTCATAGGAGGTCGGATTTTACAAGACATATGCTAATTCATACTGGAGAGCGCCCATACAAATGTGTGCAGTGTGGTAAATGTTTTAATCAAAAGTCGCATCTGAAAATGCATACTATAGTTCATTCTGTTAAATACTCATTACTAAAGTAATGAAGGGGAGTTATATGTTCAATATTTTAAAACACTAAATAGTACTTGAATCAATCATGTTTTCACTAAAATTGTCTTAGTGCAGTATTTTAAGGGGAGAAAAAATTACCATTCAAATTTCTCTCTTTTTACTTTAGGTCCCTTTTTAAACATGTGACCTTAGAAAATCGTATTGAAGTTAATCAATATTAAAAATTGTGTTAAGTATAAATTTTCTAAGTTTCAAGCTCTTCCAGGAAATCAGCAGGAAAATAAACTGCCCATTTTTTTTAATTAAGAAAGTTTTTATGTGTTACTATAGACATATATATATATAAATTGATACTTTTATTCCGTAAATTCATTAAAATTTCTATGAAATATTTTGTCAAAATTGTAAGATAAAATTAAAGCTGAAAATTTCAACGCCATATTTTCCTTTTTTTTTCTTTCAAGATGAGATAAGGTATATACCGAGTAAAATAAATTTTTTATTGCTGTAACTATTACATAACACAGTTTTTTCTTTTGTTAATTGTTATCATTTAATCATTTAAAATTCCATAATACAGATAATGTATTTCATTAAAAATACAGTAATTTACAGTTCTCTTGGAAATTAAAATGACAAATATTCTGTAATGTATACAAATAGTTTTAGTTGTAAAGGAATATAGATAAATCCTGAATGTTTAATTTGCTAAATTGTGTCTGTTAAATTAGTATATAAACTTTTTCACTGTTTTATGTAATATCAAATATAATAGGAATGTTATACTTTATAAAGATTTAATAAGAGTTGAAGAATACTGGTGCTTAAATGTTATACTTTTTTTGGAATAGTTATCCAAAAATGTCAGTTTTGTGAATGAAATAATGTCTTAATTTAATGTGTTTTTTTGTTACAATGTATCTTGCTTATGTTAATTAGTAAAGCGTAATTTTTTTTCATTATCTTTTACAGAATTTTCTAATGTTCATATTTAATGTGTAAGTTTAAATAAGATATGACTTGTTCTGGTCTTTGAGTGTTGTCTTCACTTCTTTAAACAGGTGTTGCTTCAAGTTTAATCAGTTTAATGATATCTTATAATATCTTAATTTCAAGTGCTATTTTGTGCAAATAAAAAATCAGTATTCGTTATAATTTTATTATCTTTTACAAATGTTAAAGAAATTCTAGAAAAAATGGTCTAATGTGTATTGAATTTCATTTTTCATATGTGTGTTGTTTTAATTACATAACCTGAAAAATTTTGTTTAAGTTAAAAAAGCAGTTAAGCCACATTAAAGAACTGAAAAATGTCTTATCTTGTTGGAGAATGCTAATTAACCGTTCAAAATGGTTCTGCATGTGGAAAACCATACTCAAACGATCTTGCACATAGAAAATGTCAATTTTTTTTGCGCTGAAACATCCATGCAACTAGAATTTTAAAAAAAGAAGAAAAATCATACTACAATTTTTTTAATGAATAATGGGGAGGGAGAGGAGAAATAAACCACTACAGTTGTTTAAAAAAATGTGCACTTTTGGTAGCAGTGAAAAATATATCAAAACAGTCAGTGGGGTAATAATCGGCTACATTTTCTTTGTAGCTGTATTTTTGATGATAAAAATTTAAATCTTGTTTATTTATCTTTTTATTGCTGTCAGACAATATAACTATTAATCAGAAATTATTGCTATTTTGAATTTAAAAAAATAGTGTTTTACGATAAAGTTGTTCAATGTATATGCATAATGATTCAACCAAATGCTAACCTATTACCAACATCAAAATTGTCATGTATGATGTTATAGATTTGAAAAACAAGTGTTTATTTTCATGAAAGTGGGAACTTTTTTGGAGGAGTAAAAAATTAGATTTCTTAAAATAATTAATAATTTTTCATTGCAAAGTTCAATTGATATATTTATAAAAAGTTACTCACAGTTTCAAAATATTTGGGAGAAAACTAATTTCATGAAGTGAATTCTGTCTCTGCCATTTTTATAATTTCATTGGACATTTTTTTTAAGCTTTTCTGACAATGCCTTGTAATTTGGTCTAGATTTCATTCAGCTTCATGTGCATCTATAAAATAACACTCTTCAACTGAAAATACTATGCATATCAGCATAATTTTACAGTTGTTAATTAAGTAGACCAGACCAGAAGCTTTCTGTGTAAATCTTTAAAAATTCGTATAATACAAATTTTGGGAAAGATTTCCTGTTATTTGGCTGTTTAATCTTTATTTTCACTTTCCAAGTAATCACAGCTCTCAAAATAATTTACATTTAAAATATCAGCTGTCATAAATGTATATTTGTTTATATTATGAATAAATTTGTAATCATGTAATTACTGTACTAAATAAATGTTTATTATGAGAAAATGTTTTTATTTTTAAATCTCTATTGTGCTTAATTAAATATAATCATTCCTTTTAAATATAATGATCCATTGTATAATGATCCTTTCTTAATCATACCTTTAAAACCATTGTATAATCATCTTTTCATGACACTCCCTATTCATTCCTTTAAATCAATTATACTGATTCAACTAAGTTTTATTTATTTATTGCTTTAAAATAGTTAATTTCTTACATTCATTGTCACTAAATCTATTTAGAAAATTTGAATCCTTGTTATTATATTTGTGAATTTTAGGGGGGGGGGGGGGGAGGAAGGCTTCCAGACAGTTTTTTTTTTAAATTTTAAAATTGAGTTTTTTTTAGATAAAATTTAGATCTTTTGCAGCATATATTTTTGGTCAAAGCAAAAGATATTGATGCTGATTAGTTTAAAAGCAATTATTTATTTTAAAGAAATGTTTAAAAAATTAATTAACATATAAAAACATATATTATAAACATATATTATAATTATATAATATTAACATATATAAGTCACTATACATATAAAACGGAATTTCTAATATTTGAACCTAAATTTTTTCTTAACTTGAAAATCTCAATTTTACTTACCGTATATTCCGGCGTATAACGCTCACTTTTAATGCAAAAAATAACATTGGAATTTACGGATGCGCGGTATACGCCGAATATAAAAAATTATAGATTAAAAAAATTTCAATTTAGAAAAATACTTTTATTTTAAAGAAATAACATACCTATATACTTTATTGATTTTCGTTATTACATAAATAGTTCATTATATTCGTCTTCCGTTATTTCTTCAGGCACGTCATCACAATCTGTTTCGTCTTCATCATCTGTGTTACCTTCATCCATGAATTAACAGTCATCTTCTGATCCGTCAAGATTATTTGAAATGCTGCATTTTTTAATGATTTTCTAACCATCTCAGGCTTAATTTCATCCCATGCTTTTAATATCCATTCGCACACTGTTTCTAAACTTGCATGACGCATGCATATGCCCTCCTTTCTTAAAGGTTTTCTCGCCCTCCAACATCCAAGTGTTCCACTGTTTTTTTAAATTGGCTTTAAAAGCAGAAGTCCAATGGCTGAACTAATGGTGTCAATCCGCCCGTAATAACTGCCACATCGGTGTTACATTCTTTTAACAATTTTTTTTGCATTATCTGTAAGGTGGGACCTAAACATGTCCCACACTAAAAGGCTTTCTGGTTTTCTATAGATACTAGATGAGATATTGCACATGTACAATCCAAATTTTCATGCTCGTTATACGAAGAGTATATCTTAAAATTTAAAAAAAAGTTATTAGAAATTACGGGTGCGCGTTATACGCCGGGACGCGATATGCGCCGGAATATACGGTAGTAAGATTTGATATTATTACTACTTTAAGATTTTTAAATAGAAATTCAGTTTTTGGAAAATGTAATTAATTGAAAACTTGCTAAAAAGCAGAGTTTAAAAAAAGGAATACCCTATCTCAAGTAAATAGTGCATAAAATTCTTTTTCAATAATTTTTTACAAAATATCTGACCTACTAAATCTTAATTATTCGCTTTCAATTTATTAAGAATAAAAACCTTGTTGATAAAAAGGAAAAAAAGAAAACTAATGTATAGATTCAAATATATTATTTTAAAATAGTTAAAAATTATATACAAGTTTCAATTCCTCATTAGAACATCAACTTCAATGTAGAAATATGGTTATGAAAATATGAGTCGAAGGGTATGAAGTACAAGTGAGTTGTATTAACTCTATTATATTTTTTTCAGCTGACTACTGGATTTTGCTAGTTTATTCATGTCTACTCTTGCTTTTGAAATTTCGAGTCAAAAAAGTTTGAGAAATTCCCTAATAGCAAATTTTCTGACAAAAATATCAATGTAGATTTTTGAAGTTTATTTGCTGTCTGAGCATTTAAATAAACATTAGTACTTAATAACTGTAATGATGTAATTATTTACAGTAAACAACTTGATGTTTTCCTCTGAAAAATATTCTGACATTTAAAGTTATTTTTTGTTTAGAATTCCCTCATTTTAAATTAATTAAAAATTCTTGAAACCATCAATTACATATCTATTGCTATTCAAAATTTCAAATTCAGCATTTTAGATTTCAGAATTTTGAAAGCATTTCATAATTAAGTTCATTCATTTTCTATTATAATTGGAAAATATTTCAGTCTCTTAAAACTTATAAAGTGTAATTAAGTTTTTGTATATTGACTATGTCTAAAATATTTCGTATATTATGCAATAGTCACAATAAAAGGATTTTGTGCTGTAAAATTTATTAAATTTTTCCTTTCTATGTTTACAGTTATGCTTAATATCTGAGCAGCTGTTTTTAAGAATGTTTAACACAAGCTTAAAACTTACAAAATTTACTATTTTAAATTTTGTAATTTGAAAGTTTATGTTCAATGTTTAAAGAAATAAATTTATTATTATTTATGCTTTAAAGATTGATCATTATTATGTAATCTGTTTATTATTTACAGATTAAATAATGTATCATTCGAGTCTAAGATAGAACAAAGAAATATTTCACCCGCTTTAAAAAAAGTTAGCTATAACAATAAATTAAATTTATTTTTCATTTAACGTTGCTAGTAATAATTTTTTTCAGGGTTTCTTAAACATTTTCTATTAAGGAACGTTTTTTATTACTTACACTGCAATGATTTGTTGAAAACACAGATGAAGATCATATGTTCAAGAAAGTTATATTATAAAGAAAATTTTACTATAAAGGCTTTATCAATCTCCAAATAATCAGCATTTTTATATTTTCTGTGTGACCGTATTTGTGGTCACAATTTACAGTTTAGGAAACTCTAAACAGTTTTTCTGAACAAGAAGGGAAAGTTGAATCTTTAGTAGTTAATGTTACACGTCGAAAGAATTTTTTGTTTGTTCACAAATAAATGGATAAATTTCTTAAATTAAACTTACCAAGTTTTTTAAATCTTTTTTTCGTTTTTGTTAATGATATTTTTTCACTGTAATAATTTTTTTTAGTTGCTCTTAACTTTTTAATTTTTTTAAAATTGTTTCTAAGTTTAAGAAAGTTATTCTATTTTATTTGCAATTGGTAGTTAAGCTATTAAGTATAGATTAAAAGCTGGATATTAATGAGATTACTGTATAATATATTTTGATTACCATATTTAATCATTTCAAACTCTTAATATATTTATATATTCAAGTATTTTATTTATTTAATTCAAGTAATTTTTTAAAAAAAATTCTATTGAGTTACTTTTTATTTTGCTAATTTTTTTTATTTTAGTATTTTATTACCTAATTCTTGTACTTTATTTTTGTATTCTACTATTTTATCTTGTATTCTACCATTTTATTTTCTTATTTTACCATTTTATTTTTATATTCAACCATTTAATTTCTTATTTTACTACAGTACAGAACCCGTTATCCGGAAATCAGAAAACCAGAAAACCGGAACGAAATTCGATAAATTTTCCCGCCATTTTTTAAACAAAATTTTTTTTTCCTTATAAGATTTTAGGATTTTTCTTTCTTTTTTGAAAGATGTTCACCTTACCATCATTTTGGAAATAATCATTAGTGTATTACTTCATCGTTTTTTCTTCTTTTCAAGATTATTTCCTAAAAAAATTTTTTTTTTAGTTGGGTTTAACAATAAAAAAACGGCTTTTTGTAGCGATTCAGAAAACCGGAAAAATCAGTTATCCGGAATAGTGATGGTCCCGATCGTTCCGGATAATCGGTTCCCTACTGTATTTTATATTTAAATTTTTCTGTTCTGTTTTTTATTCTACTATTTTGTTTTGTTTTCTACTGTTTTATTTTCTTATTCTACATTTTATTTCCTTATTCCATCATATTATTTTGAAATTCTTCTGTGTTATATTTTTATTCTACTATTTCGTTTTCTTATTCTACTTTTTTTTTTTGTTCGACCATTTTATTTTCTCATCTACTAATTTACTTTTTAGTTCTACTATTTGATTTTCACCTTCTCCTATTTAATTTTCTACCATTTTGTTTTCTTATTCTACCATTTTATTTTCTTATCTACTAATTTTTTTGTTTTACTATTTGATTTTCACCTTCACCTATTTAATTTTCTGATTCTATTAGTTTATTTTCTAATTGAATAAGTTTTATTTATTTTTTCTATTTTCTTCTCCCAGTTTTTTAACTTTCTTTTGTTGGCATGTAATACAATTTTGTCTTTTGTCTCTTTATAGGAATGGGAGACACATTTCCCAGAAATGCACCTTTTCTGTCTTTGAATCTTTATTTTTGTGACTTCTGTAAATTTTCAACACCTAAAAAGAATGATTTAGGAAGACATTTGTTAATTCATACAGGTGAACGTCCATTTCAATGTGAAATATGCCAGAAAAAATTTGTTAGAAAAACACATTTGACGAGACATGTGAGTCAAGTGCATGCTGATTATTTAAAACAATTCTAATATACAGCTATTAATTTAATAATTTATTGGTGAAAAATGAAGTTTTGAGCTCATCAAAGCAGCCAAATGTCAATAAGAAGAAAATCTATTACTGTGCTTAACTACTACAAATTCTGAAGTCGCTGTGTATTGTATACATATGATTGGTATGCAATAACTGGATATAAGCTGCAGCTAATGAACTATTAATTGATGGAGGTCAAAATTGGATTGTATATTGAATATGTTTAGCAGTTTTTGAGTCGGGTTTGGGTAAAAATAGATAAGCAATTGACAAAATAAGGTTGTTGTTAAATATGTAAATATTGAATTTTGAGACTTTTTCATTAGTTTTGCATTCAAATAAATCCCTGAGATTGAACATAGCAATTGAAAACTCTACAAAGCAGTGCAATATTATTTCAAGTGTCCCTCAGTGATAAATACTTTAAAATTAAGTTTTCTAGTGTATAATACATTCTGTATGATTTCTGGGATGAAAAGAAAGCTAAAATTTTATAAATATTTATAATGCTTTTAATTTTCTCATTTTTGCTAATGTGACCACACATTTTTAGGGAAAAAATTGTATATTTTTTTCATGCAAATCTGTGTAGAACAGTTTTAAAAATTAATACAATAAATGCAATTTATGACAAATGCAAAAGTACAACTTTGACTTTATTGTTAATAAACCTTTTTAAAGGTTCAATCAATTAAGTTATCTATAAAATAAAAATGAATAACTTGCAACATGTATTTCTGAAGATATAGACAGTCAGCACTTAATTAATGCAGTTTTTTAATGTTTTTTTTTTTTTAAACCAAAACTTGAAAATTTTGATTAGTTTTTGAAAATTTAAAAAAAAATTAGATGTTTTGAATGCATCTAAGTTTATCTAGAATGATATTTTGGTTTTAATTATAGTAATAATATAACGCATTTCTTCATGAACATGCATTGACCCAAACATGGAATCTTAAAACCAAATCATATAAATTTAGAAAATTGCTTATTGGTACAAACTTTAATTTTAATTTGGTTTATGGATTTTGCCAATGTAGGTTTGTGTATTCTGTATGTGTAAGAAACATATTTCTTATGTTAATATAAGTTGAAAGGAATTAAGACGTCAAATTTGTGGTATATTAATTTGAATAGTAAAATTTAGTGGTATATTTTTATTTTTATCATACATAAAAATTTTGTTAATTGTAATTTTTTTATTTTTTTATTTAATATTCCATATGTATGTGTACTATTTTACATAAAATGGAATTTTTGTTTAAAATTTTATAAAAGATGCAATAAAATACAAATATTTGTGTCAATGTTTAACCTATAATACCGTGTAGAATAATTTTTAGATTAAAATTGGTTTAATTTTGTATAGTGAAAATATGTATTATTAAAGTATAGAATAAATATGTGCTCAGTATTAAAGCTGTTGTTGCCCAATGTTAAAATATTGAAGTACTAAGTATGCTATTTTACTAATAGATATACTACTTGTTCTTAAATTCTAAAGATTGTAAAGAATGTGCAACAAAATATAAATATTAAAATTCAAAATAAAATTAATTAAAAAAAATTAATTCAGAATTTTATTATCTTAAGCTAACATGTTGCTATCATGTAAGAACGAATGTTTCTATTATACCCTTATCAGATTTGTTATTTCAGTTGTACTTTATATATATTCTTTTAATGACATTTTCAGTTGCTGTTTGCCATAATTGTGGCTATATTTAAGTGACAGTGTTTAATAATCTCCCTTAAAGCCTTTTATTTTAAAGACTCAATTAAATGGAGCTCAACAAATATGATAATTTTCTTAACAATTTTGGTGTGCAATGACATGGAATAAGTAAGATAGCTAAGTTTTACTTAAACATGTCTTGGTAGCTGTTTATATGTTGTTCATGTATAAAATATTGAAATCAATAATCCAATTCTAAGCTTTCAGATTGTAACTTATCTGATGGCAAGTTCAAAGCTGGTTTTTGTCTTCCCCTGACTGTGACAGAAAAAAGCCTATTTTAAGTCCAAAAATACAGACATAGAAAGAAACAGTACGCAAAAAAGATACTTCTGCTCTTTTCTCAGTTGTATTATTAGTGGACGAGCAATCTGCCATCATATCTTATAATTTGTTATTGCGTGTCAAAGTTATAACGAGGATTTTTATTGAAAAGGTGTCTTTAATAATATCTAATATACATAATAATAAATATTAATACAATAGAGTCCCGATTATCCGAGTTAATGTGGACTATGACTTACTTGGGTAACCGAAAAACTCTGATAGAATGAAGAGTATGAAAAAGGAAATAAAAAAGAGTATGTATAAATGTATTATAATTAGCAAGTACAAAATTTATACAAGTGCACCATTTACAATTCATAATATAATTAAAACACTTATAGAGCATATTTTAGGGGAATGAACGAGTTTTTACTTAAAATGTCCCTAATCGTTTTTTGTTTTACATTACTTTGGTGCTTTTCTGCAGCAATTTTTTGCTATTTTTTAGGGATAACATTATTGCTGATGTAGTCTCTTCTTGTTGTTCTATGTTCTCAATAGCTTTTAGTCCATTTTTTATATGTTGCTTTACGTCGTCACTGTCTTCATCATCTTTGCTAGATTAATTTTCATTATTGACAATATTAACGATCATTTCATCGGATCAAGTTGTTAGATTTCGTTTTCCTGAGTGTTTGGAAGATAAAATCCAAAACTTTTTTTGGCGGTAGTTCTAAAAATAAAAAATCTAGAACAAGAAAAGTCAGTGAATTATTAGATAGCTTGGTTAAAGCGGAAACTCGGATAATCAGGGCTCTACTGTCTATCTAATAAATATAGCTGATAAATATTCTAATCAATGGAAATATACCCAATACCTGTAGAAATAAGATACAAAAAACGTCTCAATTAATTTAAAGTTATTTAGATATATTTAAAATTAGTTTTAATATTTTTCACCTGCAATTATTTAAAAAAAAAAATTCGTTAAAATTCTAATTTGCGTAGAAGTTTAAAAAAGCATGTTTTTTCAAGAAATGCCAGGAATCTTGCATCACACAAATTAAGTAAGCTTTTCGAAATGTGAAACATATTTTTAATTATCGCAGTTTTATTTATTCTTAATGAAATGGATTGTTTATTTTAGCATTTATTAGTTTTACATACAGATAGCCTGTAATTTCTTTTTTTAAATTTTTTTTATAGATACATGAGATTTTTTTTATTGCTTGACATTTATTGTTTCAAAAAATATCAAGTTTAATTTAAAATCATATGTTCTTTTTTATTAATGCTTTCTGGTTTTTATATAAATTACTTTTTGTCTTTAATCTTTACTATATTTTAAAAAATCTTGTTCATTTTACTCAATGCTTTTTGTTTAAACCAATACAGTTTTACGAATAAACATGCATAATGTAGCGTAAAAGTGCTGCAAGGTTTTTCCGACTGCAAGTTTCTCTCCCCATTGACTGTACTAAAAGTATTATAAATAGTGCCAGCCTGGTTCTAGCCTTTAAAGAATTATAACTAGTGCTTATAAATTTCAATACCTTTTTTGGAAGGTGGAACACTTTTAGTTGATTTTTTAATGTAAGGTGCATTGCTGAATTGGGCAATAAACTTTATTTTTTACTAAATATTCTTTTTCTTTGCATTGAACACCTTTTTTTTTCTTATCCCAAATCATGTTATTTCTTACATTTTGCTTGTTTCATATATTGAGATATAAAATTCTTTATTGTAGATTAATTACACACGATTAGTTAGTCATAAATCATTTTAAATGTTAAACTAATGTCTACTAATATGTCATTTTTTAAAATTAAATACTGTTTGTTTAATTTTATTTTCTTCTATTTAGCTTTTTGTTTGTTGCAATAATTTTTATTTTGTCTCTTGTTTCCTTGTAGGAAGGGGATGCATACTTTAAAAAAATTCACCATTTTATCCTTTGAAAGCATATTTTTGTAACTTGTAAGTTTACTACACCTAGAAGAAATGATTTAGAAAGACATGTGCTAATTCACACAGGAGAACGCCCATTTCAGTGCAAAATATGCCATAAAAAATTTGTCTGAAAAAAACATTTGACGAGACACGTAAAGCTACTAGAATTTTTTGGAATGAAATAATGCACAGTTATTTACAGAATTTGCCGACTAACCTTTATTGTAAGATGAAAACCAATGCTATATGAAATTCGGAATTATCAAAAATTCAAAGTTACAGTTGCTTGCAAATTTTAATCTCACATTATTAAGAGTTATAGTTATTATAAATTTAAGGCTGATGATGCTATTTTTTCCAAAGCTGCTGTTTATGGTATCTGATATATATATTAAATCAGTTATGACTGGATGCAATTTAGCTGAAATTTGTAAAGCCAAACATAGCATCTAGAAAATCTTATTGTATGTTGAATTAAAAATAACATAAATAAAAAACATACATAAATAAAATGGGGATGTCAATTGTACATTTATTATTCTTTATTATCTCTTTACCTATTTTTTGTGCTTTTTTAATGTATTTGGCTATATTTTTAATATTTCAAGTGCATTTTTTGTGCCTTAAATTTCTTGTCTTTCAATAGCATGTTTATTTATTTTAAATGCATGATAATTTTCTTTGATTAATAAATAGCTTTCAATTCATATTTTAATTGGTTTGTTTACTATTTTAATTTAAATGTAATTTAGAATTATTTAATATTTTTATTTGATGACTTTTATAATATATAATATTTCATAATATAGAATATAGTTTATGCTTTGTTATTATTCTTTTATAGTTTAATGAAATGTCTTCAGATAAGAAAAAAAACTTAATGTATACTTTATTTAAAATAAATTTTGTAGCATTTACTTATTGAATTGCTTATTGATGCTAAATACAAAGCTTGGTAACTTCATTATTACAATTCATGCAGAGAAGTGTATGATCTCAAGAAACTGAAGTGAAATGTGTATTTGTTAATGGAAAAACTTCTTTGGTTTAAATATTAAGGTGAAAAAAGGCCAGCTTTTGAGCACCCGAAAAAAAGCTGCCCATTCTCAAGACTCAACAGCTGTGAATGTAGAAAGTACAATTTTTTTATTTATGTTTGTTGAATCTTGAGAATGGGCACATTTGATTTGAGCCCTCAAAACATGTCAACCTTATTCACTTCAATATTTTGAAAGTACAGTAGGGAACCGATTATCCGGAACGATCGGGACCATCGATATTCCGGATAACTGATTTTTCCGGTTTTCTGAATCGCTACAAAAAGCTGTTTTTTTATAGTTAAACCCAACTAAAAAAAAAATGGAAATAATCTTAAAAAGAAGAAAAAACGATGAAGTAATACACTAATGATTATTTCCAAAATGATTGTAAGGTAAACATCTTTCAAAAAAGAACGAAAAATTCTAAAATCTTATGAGGAAAAAAAATTTTTTTTTTAAAAAAATGACGGAAAAACTCATTGAATTTCGTTCCGGTTTTCTGATTTCCGGATAACGGGTTCTGTACTGTATAAAGTTTTCCCGTTATCAAGTATTACTGATTTTTTTAACCAGTTTTTAATAAATATTTGAAGTTTTTTCATGTTATTTTTATTGCAGTCCCATAGCTCAGATCCATAGATTAGGACAGATTTAACATTAGTATTAAAAATTCTAATTCCCCCCCCCCTTCTTTTTTCTGAAATTCATTGAGAATAGCGTAACTGTAACAGGCTTTGTTTAAAATCTATTTAATATATCTTCATCAGTTCTCTCTTTGTTGTTAATTATACTTTTAAGAAATGTGAAACTGGTAACTCGTATATTGTAACTTTTATGTATATTTCTGATAACTTTCTAACTGAATACTTCCTCAAGAATAAAAATGTTTATACATTACCTCAAAAATTTTCAGTTATCATATTCAAGGCCTTTATATTTTTGAATCCAAACTTTTTTGTTGATCCTCAAAATTTACTGACGGTAGATAAGTAGCAATGTTTTGAATTTTTTTTCTAACAAATGCTTCATTCTTAGGTGTTTTATAACAATACCCTTTCACTTAAGTATCTAATTATTTTCCATTATTCTTGGAATTATTTGCAATGTTAGAGTCATGTTCAGTTTGTAGGGGGAGAAGCATTTTCTTACCATAAAAAAACAACTTACTTTGTTGTAAATTGATACATAGTATAGGTCAGGGATGGCGAACCAATGGCACGAGTGCCATTTATGGCACGTGACACAATATTTTGAGCACGCCACCGATCACAAAGTTCACTATGAAGCATATTAACAATTAAATTATAATTCGCAAAAAGCAAACAAAAAAAAACAATTATTAACAAAAAAGTTAACAATTAATGCCAAAAAAAACCCCCAATTAATAGTCCTAAAAAACAAGCTAACAATAAATGACAAGCAAAAAAAATTGACAGTCCTGCTTAAACTAACATGTTACAACTTAATATAAGTTATTTGTCATCTAATCTGCAACAATAGAAGTCATACTGATGTTACTTTAAGTTGAATTACGCGTATAACTGAGACATTGCAAAATGTGTTTTCTTCTTCATAATAAATAGTTTTGAGTTGATACTATTTTGTATTATTATTTCTTCAATAATCGCGAAGTCAAAATTATTTGACGGCACGTCTATGACCTCATTAAACAATTTTTTTTAGAAAAAATGGCACGTTGGTGCATAAAAGTTCGCCACCCCTGGTATAGGTTATCTTTCACTTTAAATTAAGAAATCAATGAAAATAATGATGATAATTTCTTCTGATGAATTATACTAAATGCTATTAGAAATTAATTTTGTAGGTTATCTTTAAAATAATGCTTCAATTTGTATAACTTAACTAACTTAAGATTTAACTTCATAAGATAAATAATATAGGTCTTTCACTTTTAAATGAAATAAAGATAAGAATAATTTCTTCTTTAGTAATAATGCATTGTAGTAAATATGATGAGTTTATCATCTGCATTGTCAATTTTTCCTTTCAGTTCTTATAGCTCCATGTTATTTATCACAGCTTTAATTTAAATCATTTTCTTTTCTCTAGAAGGATATGATTCAAGATTGATTCCAGAAGAAGGTTATGATTCAAGAAGCTCAAGCATCTCCAAGTCAAGAAATATTATTCACTTTTGCCATTTCTGTGATTATACTTCAGTTAGAAAAAATGATATGGAAAGACATTTGCTCATACACACAGGAGAGCGTCCATTTTCGTGTCTACGATGCCCCAAGAGTTTCAACCGAAAGTCTCATTTGAAAAGACATTATATTACCGTTCATTTTATAAATGAGGAATGAATTTGTTAATATTTTACATTATGGATATCAAAGTGCCTCTTATAATATAGAATAGTGTTTACTGTGATAATGCAGAACAGTGGAATACTATTGGATTGAATCAGAGATGTATTAATACTCTCTTTCATTTATGGTGGTAATGTTCTTTTTTTTACTTGTTCATTTGCTATGAGAAAGCTCTGAATTTGGCTAGGAAATTTTTTTTCTCCTAAGGTTTGATATTCAGATGGTTACGACAACAAAATTATAAATTTTTAATTTCAAAATAGTTGGATAAAAATGAGTAACTACTAAATGAAACTGTTAATTTATAAAACCAAAGAAGAATTGATAGAAATATATTCAAAATTTGTCCTTAGATGGCACTAATAACTGAAAAAGCTATATAAAATTATCTTTTAGCTGCATATCAAATCATACTACCTGAAATATTTGAAAAGACACCTGTTAGATTTATCCCCATATTGCGCCACATTGTAGCTTCAAGTTTTGTTATTTTTAAAACATGCTTATTCTCCGGATATTATATTTCATTATTATATTGTTATTTTTTTGCCAAGATTTTTATAGTTTTTCTCAATTAGCAATGCCATCTGTTGACTAACTCTGTAACTAACTTTGAAGGTTGCTGAGAGAAAAAAAAACTAATATTTAAGTTCAATGTAGCATGTTTTATATTTCCTTTTCTTCAATTCATTTTATGAATGGTCTGTCAATTTATCAACAACTGGTACACTCTACTTTTTATAAAGGGAAATGTATTGTATTATTTTTATTGTAACTATTTTCAATTTGAAACTCTTAACATGTAGAAAAAGTCCTGACAATGTATGAAAGCTCTTTGGCATTTTTTCTGCTAGCTTATTAATTGCACCTATTATTATTTGACCAGAATTTCCCTCGATATTTTTATTCATGAAGAAAAGCTGGTGTTCTGTTTTGCATTGTAGCCAGGTTCTCAATTAAAATATAACAATTAAAACATTGGTGAATGAATGAATTATATGTTTTAAAAAGAAAAATTCTTACAAATATGCTCTTTTTCAAAAGTATTAAACTTTTTAAATTTTATGTTTCTTGTGTAGAAAGTTTGCAAGGGGAAAAATAAATGTACTCAAGTTTGTACGTCTTAATGCTTCAAAATAACAAATAGATGTGATAATGAAATTTTGCTGAAAAATAATGATGATCATTTAGCATTTTTTTTTACCTTCAACCTTAAATTCTCTGAAATATAGAAATGTTTCAGCACTTTTTATAATAAATAATTTTTAAAAAAGTCTCATTTCAATGTCTTTTTATCTCCTGAATGTTTATATTGAATTTTTTCTTCCATTCCACTTGCTTTTTGTTAACCGCACAAACTGGTTACACTTAAGACAGTTTAAATTATTTCTTTCCCATGTATGACATTCAATATAAAAATAGCCCCATGAAAATTTTTCCAATGTGTTCTTTTGAACTTGTTTTGATGCATAATATATAGAATATTCATAATAGTTTATATTAATTCTTTTGCAACATCGTAATTTATTTTTTAGTATTTATATATTATTCAATGTGGGATAACTTAATTGTGAAATATATCAAAGTTTGCACATTAAATGCTATAATAATACTGTTATTATCTAATAGGGTGTATTACAAAAAACTTTTTTTTGAAAAATTAAATTACAAGTTCATTAAAATTTGTTTATGTGCCCCTATGTCTGCCTTTTTTTTCAAATTGAAAGACACTTAGGTTTTCTAAAATAAGCCTAATTTTTTTTGTGGGTCCTAAGCATAAGTTTTATTTTTTAAAAAGCATAAATATAAAACTAATTTTCGTTTTAAAGAGAATATAATATGAAGAACCGAAAGAAAGAAAAAACATGAAATGTATTATTCATTGCCTTATATATTGGATGCAATATTTAGGTCTCCCAGAATCTTCATGAAAATCTTATATACTAAGTTTTATTAACCGATGCACATTTCTCTCAACCTCATCTTTTGGTGTTATGTAGCTCACAATACATGTGCAATCAAAATTTTCTTGTCGATTTAGGAAAACCTAACTGCTACTTTTTACACTTAAAATTTGCTTTCGGTTTCGTAAAATTAAATTTTTTAAAATTGTAACTTTACTTTTTTGATCTTGAAAAATAAGGTTTGTATTACATTTATGCTTTTAAAAAAATTCAAAATTAAAGTTTGTGATTGTGTGATGTAAAAAAAAAAATTAGTTCATTCCAAAAGGCTGAAATATTTTTCAATTTTACAATAAAGTTTTTTAGTAAATATGTGGTAACAGGAAAAGCTTTTTATCAACCTGAAATTTCAAACTTATGAAAAAAAAAAGTTTTCAATCCCTATTATGTATGTTTGTTATGTTTAACTACATTTAGTCATCTTGATTACATTAATGACTGGTGAATTTGGTTATGCATGCCCATAGGGGTACACATAAGCTTAAGGCAAGTGGTCCTATTGGATGATGTCACACTTAAAAAGTGAAAAGCAATACAAGTTTTTGTTACTAAAACGCTAGGAACATATTCCACATTTTAAAACTATACATTTTAAGCTACATTCTATTAACTACACATTTAATGTAGGTTATAGAATGTTTATAATTACAACGTGATAAATTGTTTAATTCTGTTGCTGATTATTTAAATATTTATGTACAATGGAAAATTGTGTTGAGTAATTCTTTATTCATTTGTTTGTTTATTTTGCCATAAATATATTTTATAAACATGTCAGCACTTTAGGCATTTGCATATATTTAATATAAACTTTTCTAAAATATTCCCATTTTAAATTTATAAGTTTTTTCTAATATTTTAATTTGAAAAATCCTATTGAACTAATTTATTTCATTAATTTTCATACATATGTTTATTTGAAAATAATTTAAGTATTCATATATTTTTACTGTGTGTTGTGCTTTAATTTTAAATGAAAGTTGTAATTAACACTTTTTATGTATTTGAAATCAATGAAAAATTAACAATGTTGAATATTTATTGAAAATGGCATTTACTTAAAACTAATGTATTTCATTATAATATTTTGTGTACTCAAAGTATTAAAATTATTGTTTTACTGTGTGCCACAAAAAATTCTTGTTTTTAAACATGTTTAATAAACGTTTGAATGATAAGCATAGACGTTTGATTGATTGATAAGAATGGATTAGACTGATAAGTTTGATTGCTAATGCTTAATAAAGACAATGCAACACATTATTGTTTTGTTTTTCCAATTTTGATCTATGTTATTTCTTACAGTAATTTTTACTGACTTTCAAATAATTCTCATTATTTGGATTTTATATAATTATGCATAGGTTTTTTTAAAAAAATTATAAGTATTTATTAATTGTTATTACAAGTATTAATTAGAGATGTAACGGATTTAAAATTTTGCCTATTTCCAGGTGCGCTATCCCCAGTGAAAATTCAATATTTTATCCAACTTGCTTTGGGTACTGCACTAAAATTTTATTCGTCCTAGGCCGTTCCCAGGTAACCGGTAAAATTTGGATTTATTACCCAGTCTGGTAATGTAACATTTCAGAAGAAGATTATTAAACCATATAATTTTCTGTCTATCATATTTTATAAAATATAGTTCTAAACAAATATATTGCTTGCTTGAAATACATTTCTTTAGAAAATGTACTGTAGAATGTTTCCCCTCAGGGTAAAATACTTATTAGCACAATCTCTTTAAATTTTGATACTCGGTGAGAAATTTTATCTTATTACCAATGTTGAACAGAAGACTCATAAAATGGTTTTGCTACCGCTAATGTTTTTGCCCTACATCTGTATTCTAGCATTTTATACAAAAATATTTCTGTTTTACAGAATATTGCAAATTTATATTTTAATTTATTACCATTCATTTGTGCTATGTAATTTCCCATTTATGGCTTATTTGTTTTTAGCAACTAATTTTAATTTTCTTTAAAACTGTTACTGTGTTTTGATTGCATTGCATAAAATAATGTTTTAAAATCATATTTTCTTCATTTGAAATCGGCACTACCTGTTTATCGGCAAAATAATTTTCAAATTCAAAACAGTCATTTTCTTTTTGTTGAATCACTGAGTTAATCAATTCAGGAAAACTGATTATCAGATATAATTCATTCTGAGATAAGTTAATTCATTCTGAAGATTCACCATCTGGGTGTGCATTTGTTGTAAACACTTTTGTCCAACTTCTGTTAAATGCAGATAAAGGTTAATTAAAAAAGTATTTAATTTAATTTTAAAAACTCAAGTTAAGATACTTTAATTTCACTTCATTTCAAACATTACATACTTAGCAGCAATTTGTGGTTCATTTTTTTTCAGGTATGATTATATTTATAATTTATGTAAGGTAATATTGTTATAGCTTATATTTGTTTTTGACATAATATGCCCCAAAAATATTTTAAAATTGTCCTATTTTCTCTTTTTTTAATAGCTACTGAATGTGATTATTCATCTGTTGGGAAAGCTGATTATCAGCGACACTGGAGAACAATCATTTGGGTGTGATTTTTGTGGTAAACATTTCAATCGAAAATGTCTCCTGATAAGCCACATGAAGGTGCATAAAAGGAAAATGAAGGTTTTTTATCAATGCACTGAATGTGATTATTCATCTGTTAGGAAAGCTGATTATCAGCGACATATGCTAACTCATACTGGAGTGCGACCATTTGGGTGTGATTTTTGTGGTAAACATTTCAATCGAAAATATACCTTGACAAACCACATGAAGGGTCATAAAAACAGAATGAAGTTCTTTATTTAATATTGAAAATTTGTGCTATTAAGATAATTTGGTTTAATTTCTATGTATGTGTACTTAGCAACCATTTGTGATTGATTTTTCAGGCATAATTTATGTAATTTATTCATTTATTTAAAGTATATTTTTGTTATGACTTATTTTAAAACAGGGTGCATAGCGTTTTTAAAAAGTGCTTAAAGGTGCTTATTTTCGTTTTTTAAAAGCCCTTAAAAGTGCTTTTTTCATTGGGTGTTTTTAAAAAGTGCTTAATTTTATCATTTTCAAAATGAGATTTTTCCTTTACTATGTTGATTTTTGCTTCGAATAATGCAGAAAGAGAGGGCTCACATTGTTCTGTTCTACGTTTTCACAATTAACAACCCCAGTCTATATCGGCGTATTGTCAGTCCGTAGCATATTAAAACAACATTCGTTTAACATGATTCAAAATTTCATGATTTTTGACAATTGTAAAAAACAATGCCAAAAGGTTTTTTTTGATGTGACGGTTAAAAGAAGATAAAACCGTTAATTGTCAAAAACTTTCCAACCCTGCCTAATTATGATATTTTTTAAGGTGCTTAAAAATATTTTTTGAGTGCTTAAAAGGTGCTTATTTTTTGTTGAATAATTTGGCTACGCACCCTGTAATATCAATTAATTGTTGTAGCCTGTAATTGTCAAATTTTTCAAAGTAATTACTACTAATAAAATGTATTTTAAAATTATCCTTTCTTTTCTGTAATAGGAACTACATGTTTATCTACAAAATCATCAGCAAATTCAAAATGGTTATATGCTTTTTATCAATGCTCTGAGTGTGATTATTCATCGATTCGAAAAACTGATTATCAGAGACATAAGCTAATTCATACTGGAGAGCGCCCATTTGGGTGTGAGTTATGTGGTAAACGTTTCAATCGAAAATCTAATTTGAAGACTCATATGATCGTTCATTTAAGTAAAAAATAACATTATTTGTGTTAAAATTTTGAATTTAAAACTACAAAGCACAGGATGTTTTTTTACCAAAACATGGGTCATTTTAGCTATGTTTAAAAACATATGATTTATTGATTGATTTATACACTGTAATGTTATTCTTATTATTTTCTCTACTACTAATTGCTACTTGAATATTATTTTCTTGTAACTTTACTTACGACGTCAACTATTATTTTCTCTAAGCTAATTGATACTTGTTATATTATTTTTTTGTAACTTATTTACTTTAGGCATCAATTATAATTTTCTCTAAATTAATTACTAACTGTTATATTATTTCCTGCAAACTTATTCATTTTAGTCATAAATTATCATTTTCTACAAATAAATTACTAACTGTTATATTATTTTCTTGTGACTTATATATTTTGTCTATCTATAATCACTTTCTCTCAGCTAATTGTCATATCATTGCATATGAAGTAATTTTATAGACGAAAACTTATCACAGGCAGAAATGTAATGTGTTTTTAAAATTTTATTCTTTGAATTGGATAAAGTGTA